ATGTTCCATAGTAGTGGCGATAGGACGCCTCCTTGAGGGCATCCTCTGACAACCTCTGCTCTGGTAGTCGTGTTCGCCACCACCTGAACCGCCCTTTTACTAACTAGTTCAGTGACCCAGCTTCTTACGGCTGGTTCTACGTTGAATTGTTCCAGGGCGTGGTTTATGCTGTTGTGCATAGTTTTATCAAACGCTCCTTCTATGTCTATGAAGACAGCAAGAGTTGACGCTTTGTTTGTGATGGCCGACTCTATTTTATGTACTACCATGTGTAGAGCCGACTCTGTTGATCTGCCTTTCCTGTAGGCGTGTTGTTGGGGGTGTAGTGGTTTGCTTTTCAGCACGCCATCCCTGAGATGTCGGTCTACCAATCTTTCCAGTCCTTTTAGTAGGAACGATGTTAGACTAATTGGTCTGAAGGATTTTGCCTGTGTGTAGTCTTCTTTTCCCGGTTTCGGTAAGAAGATTACTTTTGCTTCCCTCCATGGCTTGGGTATGTATTTGAAAGCTATGCATGCCCGGTATATCTGTACTAGGTACTTGAGTATTTGGGCTGTTTGCCATTGTAATAGCGCTGGGAAGATTCCGTCCAGTCCTGCGGATTTAAAGGGTTGAAAGCTATTTAGCGCCCATTTTACTTTATCCGCTGTTGCTATACTATTGGCGATTTTCCACTCTTCGTTTGTCGGTGTGCTTTGTTGTTCATCCTGCCACCTTGCGATCGATGTGATCTTACAACCCGGAAAGTGTGTTTTTAGCAGCATTGTGCTTGTTTCATCTTCCGTGTTCGTGTAGGTGCCGTCTTCCTTCTTTAGGAAGCCCAGTAGATTGAGATCACCTTTTGATAGGATTTTCTTAATCCTAGCAGCCTGGCTTGTTGAGTTTATGCTACTACAGAAATTGCGCCAGTGTTCTCTACTACGGAATCTGATCCGCTTCTTGTAGTGCTTCTGTGCTTCTTTGTATTTGTTCCAGTCTTCATTGGTTCTGGTGTTTTTCGCTCGGTTGAAAAGTGTCCTGAGTTTTTTCCGAAGGCGTTCAAGTTCCGGCCCCCACCAGGAACCTTTGTTCGCAACTTTGGGAGTAACTTCTGGGCATGACTCTACGTAGCTTTTCGTTAGAGCAGTTGTGAGGTGTTGTATGTTTAGCTCTATATTGTTAGTGCTAAGTGTTACATCTGTCATTTGTGTATCGTTAAGTGTTTTGGTTAGTATTTTGGTATACCTTGTTATATCGGTTTTACGGGGGTTACGATATGGAACAGGGTCTGTTAGTTTCATTTTTATTTGGTAACATAATATGCGTCGGTGGTCCGCAAAGGATGGCTCGTTTGACACATGCCAGCCTTCAATCAGTTCCGCCGCCTCATGTGTTGCCAGCGTCAGATCTATTATAGTTTGGTACCTTGAACTTACGAAGGTGGGTTCAGCTACTATAGCTGAAAACAACAGCGTCCTATGTTGTTTTCAGCTATAGTAGAAGTGCAAATATGTACATTCACTTTATTTTTTTACGATGTATCTACGTATATTCGTTTCTGTACTTTGTATGAATAAATAAAATATTGATCTAAAAAAAATAGCCGTAACACAAAGTACCTAAATAAATCTGTATAACATCTGTGTATCTGGATAAAACTGAAAAACGTGAAATGTTACCTATTAAAATGACTCAACTGTAACTGTCTAAATCACCTTCTTACGCTGAATAGACTATAGCATATACAAGGTGGAATTTTGTAATGCCACCTGGAGGGAGAGTACTCTTAATACCTACTGTAGATAGAAAATTTTACTCAAAGAAAATATTCCTTTATTTTTTAAAAGAAAGAGAACTACATTCAAAACGTTTCTAAAATTTTTCTAAAATTTCCCACCATACCATACAATTTTCTGTAAATAATTAAAATAATTTAAGATTTCATGCTTTTCCTTTGATTTTATTTTGATTTATCAAGTTTGTTAGAGAGATCCTAAATAAGCTTTAACTTTTTCATTGCAAAATGCACAAAAGCAAACTTTATTTGCTATGCATAGAGCCTCTGGGTACTTTTAGATGTAGACAATCAGAAAATATCAATTAAATAACAAACTCAAAAAAAAAGTTTTTTTTTGTTGACTTGTGTTATTTATTCTTTTAGACGGTTTAATTTCTGACAGATCGGCGCGGTATTTACGCTTAAGCCGGTTGTATTCGGTGATCGCTGAAGCTTGAGGACTCTTGAAGTCAACATTTATGAGGTGCACTCAATGAAGATTGGTTACTCGTGAAAGCGCCACGTAGGTTTGGCCACAAGAGAATATGGAGCATGAGAGCATTTTTTAGACTTAGACCTTGGCTCTTTTGAATTGTTAGGGCATACGACACACAGGTTGGGAATTGTTCTCTGTACACGTATGCCCGGGGTATGATCTCAAATTTTGACTTAATAGGCAATAGCTCGTGAATCAAATTATTTGCGAATTTTACAACCAATTGTTTTGTTTGGTCTTCCTGGTCCCACCTCACTTTTTGTACAACGCCTATCGATCCATTCACTAAACTTAAACTAACATCAATTTTTCTCCTAAGCATTACTTTAGCTCCCTCTTTAATGATTATAGTTTCTTCCAGTCTAGCAGTCATCGACGCATCATCTTCATATTTTTGTAAACACGCCCGGGCTTTCGTTATCATACATTTTGAACAATCCAAGGAATCTTTAGCAACCGACTTTATATCGGGGTGCGAAATCGTCATCACATATTTTTAGTTGGTAGGAAACAAACAGTATCTTCTGGTAAGTCCCTCAAACATAGTGCTATTTCCATTAACCTTCCTTCATTGGAATGCGAGAGCAGAGGTATCAATCGGCTTGACAGTGTATCTCTATCTGATTGAGTTGTCACTCCTACTCTGTTCTTTTTAACATTTCTACAAGGTACGCTATAGGCTAGATTAAATTGGGAGATGTGTCCCACTACGCTGGATTTTTGCAATGACGTGTCGATTTTTTTTATGTACGAATAGTAGAAGGGGGCGTTACCATATCTCTAATACAGCTGAGACCAGGTGGGGATTCTTCATCAGATACTTCAGACCTTCCATTTTTGACATCGAATGAAGCGTCCCACCAATTTGAATATTTTTTTGTAAAGGCGGTATGTCGATCTCTAATAGTTCGGTTGGGCTCTTGTGTTTTCTAATCAGGGTCACCAGGTACTCCAGATCTTTGATTATTCTAGTTTTTACAGTTTTCGCTTTATGTGGCAATTAAACCCTACTCTGCACCAAATTTCAGCTCTGAGTTTATGGGAAGTACTAGTTCAATTCGGACGATCATGAGTGAGTGTCATAAATGCGAAACTTTGCTTTCGCTTAACTTCGGAACTAAATGACCTACAGACTTGAAATTTTGGATTTTAAGTATGTGATTATAGCTTACTGGATGACGAAAATTTCTTGTTGTCTTATATAGAGGTTCTCAAATAGGGGCTTGAAAATGCGGCGAAATGGTTCCATTGGTAGTAAAGGATGGTACGGCAGAGTTTGCTTCGCGCTCGACTTGGCGGGGGCACTGCCGTGCCCCCCGATTTTCCTTTAACTTATTTGCCAGGTAGAAAGGTTACAGGAACGGTTATTGGTGTTATTTCTGATCTAATGTATGCAGGGTGTCCCAAAAACAATGGATAACCCTGTAACCATCGATAGGCCTCGCCATGGTCTCCCTAACGTCCAATTTTGACCCTAGTAAAAATATCACCGTTTTCAAGATTTTTAAGTTTTTGTGCATTTTTAGAAAATTGCCACCTGCGATTACTTTTTCTCATGCCATTTTTTTTCCTTATCACAAGGGATAGTTGGGCTATCAAAAGAAAAGATTAAAGTTCAACAAACTAGTTTAAAAGTATGAAAATTTTAAGAAATTGCAGAGAAGAAGGAAAAATTAATTCATTGTCTTGCACTTTTGATCAGCCATCGTGTAAAAAAAATGTAGGAAGACCATCGTGTCCATTACCTTAAAAACTTCCTTGGTTAATTGAGTTTCTAAAAAGATATCACAAGCCTATGTATTCTGTATAATTTTTATCTTATGGCTACCCTGTATGAACAATTAATTGTTACTAGAGCTAGTTTGGACAAAAAGTTAAAATTTCCGAATGCATCATCAGTGTCTAAAAAGAAAAAAAAATGTTGTCCTCTTCGCTGGTCTAAAATTACAGTCGGTGATTTTTTTTCTTCTCAAAATGCAGGTTTTAAATTGATTTCAATATTTTAAACCTGCAATATTCTAATATGGCACCATAAACGTGACAAACCAACAACCATGCAAGATTGGTGAGCGTGATAGTGATTCAAGGGGTATAATCTCTTGGTGTTCCGTAAGGCAGAATTTTTTATCCTACCTCTCTAATATTTCTTCAGTCTAACTGACATAATGCTGACATTTTTTGTTTGTAGGTACTGAAGAACTGGGTTGCAAGGCGAATGTTCTTTATTTTGGTTAGATAAAACATGATTTGGCTTTAACTTATATCCAGGTAGAAAAGTTACAGACACAGTTATTGGTGTTATTTCTGATCTAAATAAATGAGCAATGAATTTTGTTACCAGAGCTAGTTTGGACAAAAATTTGAAATTTTCGAATGCATTTGCATCATATTATTATGATGACATAGGTTTAAAAAGGGAAAAAAAATGTCCTCTTTTCTGGTCTAAAATATTGTAGTCGATGAGATTTTTCTTCTCAAAATGCAGGTTTGAAATATATTTTAGGTATTTTAGTTTAAGCTAGACATTTAAGCTTGAATGATAGTTTAAATGTTAGTATGCGAGTACTACGATGGATATTTAATGAAAACCTTGGGACTGGTTTTTCCTTTATTACCCTTAACCTAACCTGTTAAAAAATATTTACTTTCACTAGCGCTTATCCAACAAAAATGTAAGTTAACTGGCTCAAAACTTGAAAGTTGCCTAATCGCTTCACATTAAATTAATCAATGTGATGTATTTTCCAGGTAGATGGAGGCATGACTTCTAATGCGCTGGTCATGCAGATGCAGGCAGATTTAGTTGGAATAAACGTAATAAGGGCTGGTTTTACTGAAAGCACTGCTTTGGGTGCTGCGCTGGTCGCCTATTGGGGGGTTAATAGCGATACTCAGGGAACGCCCATCCCAATGACAATCGGCAGCATCTATAAACCGAGCATAAATGAGGACGAGCGTGACATGAGGTACAAACAATGGAAAATGGCTGTGGATAGGTCTCTTGGTTGGGACCAAAATTGAATATGTGATAGTATAAATGATAATGTGTTACAAAGAAAAGTGCCCTGAATGGAAATGAATTTGATTATTATTATTTCGTAATATACATTATTTATCCTTACGAAACATTAATTAATGCATTTACTTGGTTTATGTCAGGCACGTCCGCATTCAACGCACTCAACATATGGCACATTTTGTTAATTGGTCAATGTGAAATTTTGTACTTTATTATAAAAAAAGACCACGAATCTTCTACTACAGATTTGTGAGTATATTCCTCAAAAACTGACCTTTAACGGCTTATTTAGATGTTCGACTAACGCGACGTTAATTTAAATATTTCTACGAAGCTGTTCACTGTTGATGCGAACTGCCAAGAAGTGGATGAGAAATCATCTATAATTTTCGCCTTGTAAACAGAGCATAGTACAAAATTTTCGAAATCATCGTCTATTTATTGATGCCAAGTAAATATTTTCATGCAGGGCCTTTTTTTTACAAAATTGTGTTAAAATACTACTCAAGTACTGTAGTACTACAGAAAGCAAGTCTATTTTTCCGTCATTTTTTCGTATTTTTCTTTTTACTACTCACTAAAAACACAAGATATGAATTACCTACATACGGGTAAATCTACAGTTAGAATTTAAACGTCTGTTGAGAAATTCTGGCCGAAATTGTTAGTTTTTTACTTTTCACGTTAATTTTATTGTCATGCTATCCTATTATAAGTTATACCTTAATATCTTTATAATATACTATTAACATATACTCACCTACATAATTACGTTAAGTTGTTATCTTTTGTTTTAATTTGAAATATAGTGTTTATGTTTTAATGAGGCCAAAAGACCAAATAATATTTTCTTTATTATTTAAGACACTTGAATGGTGAGACCTTTACAGCGTTGATTTTTCATAAAATTCATTCATTCCATACACTTCATTCCAATGATTAACAATATTTGATAAAACATATTAGTTACATAAATATAGCGATGCAATTTATAAAGTTTTGTGTCGAATAAAGCTGTATGTACTAAATAATGGTTATTCCCAAAGGTCCACGTTTTGTTCTTATTTCCCGCCGGGTCCATGAAATTCAAACATTTTGATAGAAAATGCTTTTTTATCTTTGATGTCGTGGACCCGTTGGGAATTGAAGTATGAACTAAACAGTAGAACTGTGGAGTCTTTAGGAATAAGCCCTAAACAATGGCAAAGTGCGTGTCGTGCCACGCGCAGTGCAGGGTTTCGTAGTTGTCTGTCGCTACCACAATATATTTCAGAAGCAAGCAATTACTTCATCTAAAGTCACTCTAAATATTTTCTTCAAGGATTTTTTATTAGGTATGAAATTTTATAATACATGAGTTTAAGGCNACTGTTGGTTAAGTCTAAATTGAGGATATTTTGACATAAGCCGGGCTTTAATAAATTCACTAGAAGTTACTTTCTGCTGCCGATTATGAAATTGGCCATATTTACCTTCTACATATAAATGTGGAAAACATTTAACGTCTAGGTCTTTATCTCGGGCATCAATCGGTGCTGTGTTTACTTTGAGCATTTGGTAGAGTTCTGAAGCTGGTGCATTTTGTCTCCGTTCATTCAAAGGATATATGGTGTAATGCTCATAATCAGTTTCCTTTTCTCTTGTGATTTGGGTCAACAGTGCTGCTGTAGCACCTTCTAAAATATCTTCTTCAGCTTTATCTGGTGTATTTGTAACATTGTGTTGAATATTTTCATGTATGTTTATGAGCTGGTTAGGTAAATCTGGTAGTTTGATGTGAGCATAATGTTCGTTTACATTTTTTAAGTATTGTAATGCTTTGTACACTTTATTTACGTCAACAATGTCTTGCCATATAATATTTGCTTTGTTTGGCGTACTTCGGACTATAATATAAAGTTCTGGGTTTTCAATTATTGCGTCTTCAGGTTTTGGAAGTTTTTTTAGGGTTTCTTCCATCGGAAGTGGTAAATGAAAAGTCCTGCCCTTTACTTTTTAAACCATCTGACGATTGGGTAGACGTTTATTAGCCACAGGATTCATTGTGACAACTACCTGGAACGCTTTAGCGCGTTGGATTAAAATGTTTTCATAGTCGTTCAGCTGAGCTATTTCTGGTGGAACAGTGCTTACGTACATGTCATTGAGGATACAGACAGCAGGCATTTGGTTAGCACGAATCTTAGCAAGGCATGTGTGACATATGTACGGACTGTGAGTTATTAGGCTAGAATTATAGTAGTTCAGGAGCTGATTCCAAACATCTGTTGATATGGGTTTTCTTAATCGTTCTATGGAACTAATATCCCTAGAATAACAAAGTTTATTGCACGATATACAAACCAGTTTCGGTGTGTCTACACATTTTTTGAAAAATAATTTAAAAGCAACCTTATTACTTTCTATTATTTCATCTTCCACGATTTCACTATCAAGTTTACGCTCTACAACGGCACTTCCTACCGTAGGTTGCTTTCCTAGCTCCATAAGCTTATCCACATTACCACTCGCCAAAGAATCGTCAATAACTTACAGTCGCTGTGTATTTGATAAATCTCTCTGATAATAGTCCGAAGATGTGGGAAATGTGATGGCGCTTTTATAATACGACACAAACAAGCGGCAAGGCAAGGTGGGGAGAACACGTAATGCTTTTTGTCGTTAGAATAACAAGTCGTTTGTAAACTCCTTGTTTAAATTTAAATTAAGATATATTTTTTTAATAAAATAAATTAATCTCCCACATAGTAGTACACCACCACAGAATAAGTAATAGTACAGGTACAGAAGGATTACTCCGCAAGACGATTTAAATAAATGCGAGTCTTGCTGCGACGCGATACAGTGGAATTCAGCTCGCACAGCACTACGTACCTACAATTTTATTCACCTACAAGTTTTGTCTCTTTCTATCGCGTGCCTCTGAACTCTTCTTACGCTGTTTGGGTTGCTGTGTTTTATCATATAAAAAAATTAATGCTTGCATTTTTATTTAATTAAAAGAATAATTTTAAAGGTGATACTTTTTATTGTTGAAATCTATTAAGTGGCGATCGTGGACCGAAACGTAACCTCAATTGACATTTATAATTATTGACAGAGCATCAAATTGACAAATCAACAACTCTTGGAAATGCTACTATGCGATGTCCCCATATTCCTCAGAAATAAGCATGTTTATGTAAAGCGATTTCATAGCAGCTATGTTGGTTGTTACTTTGTGCACTATACGATGCATTGCACAGTTGGCTGTTCGATGTGGAAGATATCACCTAGTACACGTTCATAACTTCCCGTTGCGTAGAACAGTTGGGTTATAATAAGTATTTGGTCCACTGGTTGTATGGCGTTTGGTGAGGGGTTTCAAAGAGCTTCCAAATTATGAATCCAGAAACAACACCGTTTCTTTAGAGATGCGGAACCTCGCTCGGAATTGCATGTCATTATAATAATATTTTTCAATAGCGTTCAGCCGGTAACGCATTTTCTTACATAACTTTTCAATTCCTATCATTGGAGGCCCGAAAATATTTCTCATACAATTTGATACCATAATGATCATTCTTCATAAAAAATTTAAAACCTACATATTTAAAGACATAATCATTGATATTCATAATATCACTAATCATACACTTAGTTTTTACTAATATGTGTTTTCATATATATTTTTCTATACTAATGATCGAAACTCATAATCATTCGAATAAATAACTATAATATTCATAAATGTGATGTATCCTAATATATGTTTTCATAAATTTATTACTCATAAGTGTATTTATCCATATTATTGAAATACATGATGTCTATATTCGTATTAAATCGTATTTTAATATTAAATTAATTTNCAACTATTACTCTTAAACTAACTAATCTATCATTACCGTTATAGTTTTCCTGGAAAGTTCGTAAAAAGCTCATTATAAATAAATAGCTTTGGACAATTTCACACAGCGCTATCTAGCCCCAAATTAAGCAATTAATAATAGGGGGCGGGAGGGGGGACGCCCTACTCGAACAAAAATTGGCACTTTAATATTTTGCAAACGGATCCCGAAATCGAATTATAGTCTTAAAAACCCCTAAGCCATTTTAAAAGACCTATCCAACGATGCTCCACTCGATGGAATAGAAGATGAAAAAAAAATCATCCCCACTTTACATGCCTATATTCCCACTCGCCCCCGCGGGGATTGCCACCAGAGGCAAATGGAGCAATTATTTCTTTTAAATTTTATTCTACCACTTTGTAGGCATTATTAATATACATACCTCCACAAAATTACAGCTCTCTAGTGCCAATACTTTCCAAGCAAAACCTCGGATGGATAGACAGACAGACAGACATAACGAAACTATAAGGGTTCTTTGTCAGGACTACGGAACCCTAAAAAAACAGTTCTTATGCCATAAGAACTTAGATGTAATTAACTTGCGTGCAATCGCCATAATATGTATTTTGCCTTATAAATATTACTTAATAATACATTACTGAATTAAAGATGCCACAAGCATATTTAGCTAAGTACGAGGGGCTAATGGGACTTATTAGTAATTTGTGCAAAACAAATTACTAATATTCTTCTTAAAAAATATCGACTTGTTCAATGGACAGAACAGCAGACATGAAAATTATTGCATCGCGATATTGTTACTTCTTTCTTAATAACTAATTTTAAATAATTATTGCTGAAAATTCAATTTGTACTCTCAAATGTTCTTCCCTAGGTTATCTATCTAGGTATACTACTACAAATTACTTGTATTTTGAACGCTTACTTGCGGCAACAGTTCTCCACAAAGTGTCTTATTTTGTAAGTGATCGCATAAGTGCTTTACAAAATATAATAACGAAGTCAGTACTATTGACGGAAGGACAATATTGACAAAAAAATCTCATTAATTTAAAATTCGAAAAAAATTTTGCGCTCATCACCAAATAAAATTAATCAAACAATTTGTATTTGCCGGCATGTCAAACTGAAACATTTAAAAGTTCTAAATTTATTAAATGACCTTTTTTTTACTTGTTGGCAACTGTATTTTAAGTACTAATTTCACCATAATATGTTTGTTAAGTCCTAATACATATGTGATTAACTTAAGGGTTGTTAATATTAACAGGGCTGTTATGGTGCGTCCACACTGAGCGAACGGGCTCGCGCGGCAAACTCGACATCCTGCTCACTCAAGACCAGGGTGAGCAGGATGACCAGCGTGCCGCGCTGATATGTCTCACGGGATGAATACAACAGACCATTATCAAACCAAAAATTTTACTAAATATTAATTTGCTAGTCGTTTACTCTTTTTTCAAGCAACCGAATCTCCATTCATAAAAAGCGGTGATTAGATGTAATTGCCTCGTCATGAATTTAATACCTTGCAACACGTGGTGGACACTTGAACTTTGACAGCCCGGTTGGTGATTTTACAGTACGTTTAATATTTAGTCTATATTACATATAATACATTATACAGTGTGAGTCACGATAAAGTGCACATATGAAAATAGATGAAACTAGACCTATTTTTATCGACAAAAAAGCGGTATTTTTTTTAAATTTTTTATAGAATATTTTTTCTTCCAATTACTTATTGTAAAGAAAACGTAATAACGTTTTTATTTTATCAGGATATACCTCTTAGTTTAAAAGTTATTACGTTTTCTTTGCAATCGGTAATCGGAAGAAAAAATATTCTATAAAAAAATAAAACCTCTTTTTCTAAAGGTCTAGTTTCATCTATTTTCGTATGTACACTTTATCGTGACTCACACTGTATATCTATATCTAAGTCAATAACTTATCATTTTACATAAGACTAAATCACGCCTCATTGTTGCTACACTAACAAATGGTTGATATTTTTACTGAAACATTTGCTATTACAGTAAATGTTAGTTATCATGAAGAAAATAAATCAAGATTAAAATATGATGCAAATTATACTTATAATGATCATGTAAACAACAATAGAATACAATTTTGTTAGAATCTTACGAAAATAGCCTTAAAATTAAACTGTTGATATCGCTAAGTAAAAAAGACATTATTTACAACGATTTACAAAAGTAATGTAGCTTTATTTAAGTAATTATTTTTATGATATATTACCATATTCTATTGTTATAACTTTGTTAGAGGAAATATATACGAGCATTGTAATAGTAAAATGAGTTATTTTTTCTTTCGTCCTATTTTCCAAAATACCAGATACAAAAAAAACTCCTCTTACTTCTTCGAGGTTTTTTTGCAGGTCCACACTTGACGCCTTATGATTTCGCAACGCCTGACTCTCCAAAAAGCGGTCATCTCTTGGTTCTGTGTATCGATTTCTTCCGAACCGGGTCTCCTTTTGACCGAACCGGTCTCTTGATACCGTTGCCAAGTCCTGTGGACAGTTGAACGACTCACATTTATCCGCTGAGACACGTAAGTTTGCAAACAACCTTCTTCAAGTAAGGCTATAATTTTACCGGCCCTTATCAGTCATATCAGAAAGTGGTACTTAATGTAAAAAATAAAACTGACTCCAAAAAACATGCACTAAAAAGTAGAAAAATGATTACTAATTACTTATTTAATTAGGACGAATTAATATTATACCATAATTGAAATCTGTCATGGTATTTTTTTAAAATTTAGGATCCAACCTAGTGCTTTAAGTAAGTATACTGTTGCCAAGGTTTGCTGCTGAAGCAGACTTCGACTCTGGTAAACCATGAAAGAGTCGTCCAAATATACGACTACCCTTCATTCCAGCTTCTATTAGCTTTTGAGCTATAAAATTATTATCATTGCGAAACATCTTGGTGCACATGCTATACCGAATGGAAGACATGTCATCTGGAATAATATTTTGCCTGAAAATCAATCTTAGGAAGCGTCGATGACTTTGAGCTACATTCACGTGAAAGTAAGCTTGTGACATGTCGATTTTTGTCAGCCAATCGCCTGGTTGAAGGAAGTTATCTCGAAGTGCGACACAAGATAACATTTCTTTACCGAAATATAATCGTTTAGGCATTTTAGATTTATGATTGATCCGCTAATAGAGAATATTAAGAACAATGGTGTGACAAAATTGGGACTTACCTGAGTTGGTTCGATTATGTTCGAATCGATCATTTTTTGCACTTATACAATTCGTTCTGGACTGGTCCCGCGGCACCGGCGGGCGACTACTAGAATCGCGCGGGCCGCGGTAATCGCAGCCTCGGCGGTTTTAGAAAACCGCCCGATCGGCGGGCGACCATTTTGTACCAGTGACTTAGCGCGCCGTGAATTCTTAGAATAACCGCGCATATAACCGCTCCCGTGAGTTTTGAAATAAAACCGCAATTCCACAACCGTGTGATAACTTAGTATTTTCGGCGTTATTAATTTCCAGTTTTTTTTGTATGAAGCAGAACAAAAAATAGTGGAAATCTCGAAATTGTGTGAAATTTTTCTGCGTTAATGTGGTAGCTAAAATGATTGCAAATCTCCTAATTAATTCCTCACTGACACCAGTTATCTCAGCAGTCACGTTTGCATTTGCAAAAAACCTTCTAGCCGTATTCCCGTCATTGGTGGAGCCATGACCTTGTTTGACAACATCAATCAGAAGTCCCATTCTATTTTTAAAAGCATCTTATATGTTTTTCTTTCTGCTTTTCATGATGCATTTGGTGTCTCCCTTTACAGTCCATGTCTTTATCATTAATCTGTAAGCTATATGCAGAATGCATTCCATCATTCGTATCCACATATTGCGTAATAATGATAATATAATCCGTATTTATAGAGATCTGGATCAGTCGGTTTTGATGCAACCAAGGGAACATTATTCATCTCAGTAGGAGTGGCTTTACAAAAGTCGCATCTTTGAAATGAAGTGTCACATAAAATTGATGTTGCTTTCCCGTCTATCATTGTCATTAATAAAGAGTGTGTAACTGTGTAATCTTTATTTCTCCAACTTCTGTTTCTACTAAATTAGCAATCTCTTCCTCAATAACAATTTTTTCCCGCAATATGGTAGTTTTGGTTTCTTTCACAAATTCAAAAAAGATTGGACGACACCAATACGATGAGTTTGATAACTTCTTTACCGCAAACTAATTTGATTGACACTAGCTTCCCATGAATATGCTTGAATCATCAGGTTGACTTCCTAAAGTTTCGTCGTCTGTTTGCATTTTTGCTTGTAATTAGCTTGCTTAGAAGCACCGTCAAATCCCCACTTACTGATGAGGGTTAATTCTTTACAATCACTATCTATGACGAGAGGCATCATTATTCTTCTTGAAGTTAAATCCAGTAGAGCTTGTAATTTAATTTTGGCTGAGGTTTCTGTCACGGTCTTTTGGTGGATAGCATTGCACTTGATAATAGGATGGAAATATATTGTAGCCTTTTTCGTTGAGACTTTTTTTAAACAATTGTATTGCTACTTGGTCTGCTTAAGAGATAAAAATAACCCTAAAGCCTCATCCGGAGAAAACGCAGGTTTGGTTTCTTTATCAGATATGCATCTTTTAACTTTTTTCAAATCTTGTGGATTCTTAAGTAAATGTTCTAATATTTCAGCAATCTCTTCATTCCCATCTGCTTTTAACTGGGCACAATATGCATATTTTATTTCGTCCGACGACAAATGGAAACTTTCTACTCGTCTTTTTTTCTGTTTAGGAGCTAATTCACAAAAAGGTTTTCTAGGGCTTTGTTCAGTGGAGACACCGATAGAAACTTTTGCTGGTGACACAAATTGAGTTGATGTACTGGGTACTGCGTGATCTTCATTACCTACTGCCTATCAAACATGTAATAAAGTCTGGCCATAATATGATGTTTGCTTGTAACCATTCGCTATTCTTAGTTTTGAAAACATCTTTACTATGAGCGCTTTGCCACGCTTTGCCATCTTCTTTTCAAATCATAACAAAATTTTGCACAAAACGATTTTAAGGTATTTCCGTGTTCATCACTTAATTCAAATAAAAGTTTGGACCTTACTGCGCTGTATAAACTATCACTATTTTTAATACTGCCACTGTTTTTTAAAGTAACGAAGAGATCAAGGTTTGTCACTAAATAACGAAACATTTTCACAAACTTCACAACACAAATAAATGATTAATAATAGTATGCAGGGGTAGTGCGTCTATTTTAGTGGGCACTGAGGTGGGTTTGAATGCAACTGTACATTCTGTACATTGTCGATGCACCAATCACGTTACGACCGTTTCAGCTCATAATGACAACTTCTCAAAATGACAACCGGGACGCAAAATGTCCACTTCTCGGAATGAAAACTTCTTAAAATGTCAACTTCGCTAAAAGACAACTTCTCATAATGTCTATTTTCTCACTATGACAAATTTAGATGCTTCAGTAAGTTATTTGTAATACCCTACTATCTTTAATCATCGATTACTAAACTAAAATGACTTGAATTTTCATACAATATTGAAATGGCTTTATCTCCAAGAATACCAGTTTAATAAAAAAAACTCAAAGAATAAAAACTATTTAAATATATGCCTAGATATAGATACCGAAAATATTTATACCTTAAGTCCAAACCTTGTAATCCCAGTCCACCGTGCGCCGCGGGCGCGGGTGAATATCGCGCCGTGAGTTCTTAGCCTAAATCGAAAATTTACATGGAGCTACCCTGAAAAAAATTTTTTTACAAGTTTTTATTCTACCACTTTGTCGGTGTGATTAATATACATACCTACGGACGGACAGACAGTCGGACATAACAAAACCTTGTCAGGACTACGGAACCCTAATGACAAACTTTTCATTAAAATTATCAGATGTTGCCTAACAACACGTATGTTGTCAAGGCTTACAACTTAAATAGTGACCTAAAGTATGATTCTTTAGAAATTTCCATAGATGTAAACAGACACTTGTGCACACAATTACACTATAATCAATCACTTAAGTTTTCTTAATATCATACACATTATTTCACAAGCTCATGAAACAAATTTTATTCTCACGATGATACAAATATGAAATCTAACATTGAAAACAAAATATTTTAACTAAATATTTGGATGATATGATGAAATTTGTGCTACATGTTAAAAACACGTGACACAAACAACTACATGTGAAATTCAATGCGGTAACAGTAATGGGCAATCTTGTGGTGTAAAAAAGGCCCTTCTGGACATGACCAAATTTTTTGAATTTCCTTTAATTTTATTCCGAAATGTTATGTGGCGCCAATGAAGGGATCAGATTGTATCAACCGGGCTTGTGCCCGATATTATAAATTTTAACAGGTATATTTATAACGTTCCCAGACAAACCATGCTGGTGGGTAATCCATGACCTTTTCTTATTATTTTTAAAAATATATGTGGACTTACTAATCTGTCCACCATTGGTGTCAATTCTTTAAGAGCATCTGGGATAGGGGGAAACTTTAATCCATTTACTATTGACAGTCGTGGT